TTTACAAATATAATATATTATAATTTACAATTTTATTTTTTTTTTAATATTTTTGAATAAATCCATGAAAATTATCTGAAATAATTTTTTTTTTTTGCCAATTCTATAATTTTATAAAAAGCCATCCTAATAGATTACTACACCAAACCCAGTCAGAAAAGATCTAATCCTTTTTAATCAGAATAAAAACCCAAAATAGAATATTCTAAATGAAGTTGTTATAATTTATACAAACAGAGATTAAAGAAATTTATGGGTTTGAAGATATAAAGGATTTTTATGTTTGATCCTAGACATTGGTTAAGTTTTTTATACCAAACACTCTTGGGTTTTGCGGAAAAAATTTTGAAAAAGAACGTATATGGAATTATTCTTTATAATGGAAATAAATAAAAAAAAAAGTCAAAATCATACAGACATATAAAGATATGCATTATTTATTCTTATTCAATAATTATGGAATACGGAAAAATTGAATCATATCAGGGTTATTTCAAACATTGGCAAAACTGCATTTCTTTAGGGTATATTTTTTAAAAGTGTTCAATTATCAAAAATATATATGATATTAAAATATAGCAAATTTTTACATAAATCAAAATTTATGATCTTTACATGAGCTCAATAGGAATATACAAAAAAAAAAAAAAAAAAAAAAAAAAAATTATTTTGATGTCAATAAGAAGTTGGAGAGCATAAAACAACACAAAAAATGAAAAAACCAAAACAGAAAAATATATTTATATATATATATATATTTATATATAAGTTTAAAAATCCGCCTTTATCGGACGTCATTTAAGCTAGCTCCTGAAGAGGACACTTTTGATTGGGCCTTCATCACAATAGGTATGGAGGATTAGATGTGATAGGCAACAATAAACTACAGAAGAATTCAAAATTGATCGCTGCATTTAAGTATTGCATTAATATTTAAGCTTACCTTTTAAAAAGTTCCATGATAATTCTTCTGTCGCCATTTAACTTCAAGACAATTTGATGTACGTAAGTCTTTACTTTTTGTACAAACAACTATTTTTATTTCATGGGTGACTTTTGCTGGATTTCAAATTAATTTTGGATTATTCCCAAATTTATTTAAAAGTTATAAAAATTATTTATCAAAAAAAAAAATTGTCGCAAAAAAACGTACAAAAAAAAACAATGGCAGTAATGAAAACTTGGGAATCCAGAATTTCAGGATTGCTGGTCCGGATCCGATCAGGAATGTTTTTAATTTGCTCACGGAATCGTCCTGATTCCAAAACGGTATGATATGTCTGACTACGGTCTCTAGGCGTAAAGTTGAAAACACGGACAATTTTATTTTGAATTTTTTTTCATTTGAAATAAGGTATTGAAAGTTAGAGAGTTGTGTCCCTTTAACTTGCAAAAGTCTTACACAGTGACATACTGACATTCGCATTTAACATATATATATATATATAATATATTTAACACATATATATATATACGTGTGTGTCAGCATTTCTACTCCAAATTTTCGTAGACGAACCTTTGTATAATCGTTCGTTTCACTCATCAGGGGATATCAGCAATTGTTTGCGGATTTTCTCGTTTTCGTTATTTTCATATTAAGTTTTTAAAAATAGTTTATGTTCTTTTTTATTGATTTTAGCTACATTTTTTTCTTCTATGTGTGTGCGTGTGTATGTGTGTCTGATATGGTTTGAAAAGAATTAATGGATTTTATATTTAATCCGATATTATTACTTTAACGTAGGTACCTCCAAAGAAAAAGCGATACCTAAGGTTTAAAATTAATTTTAAAAATGATAGATCTTTCTAGAAAGTTTAATTTTAATTACAAGCTAACAGATTAAATTTAATGTTTTCAATAAGCAAAACACTTTGCCATTTTTTTTTCGAAACGAATTTAAATTCAATTTCTGATTATCAGTAAAATCGATAAAATTGTTCATATTGATAAATCTGTCGACACAACACAATTCTCTATAATAAAAAAAAATCTTTCAAAAATAAAATATACTTTTCTGAAACGTTGAGAAAAATTAGCCAATTTAAAATTTAATCAATCTGAATTGACAAACAAATATTACTTAAATTAGTTTAAAATATCGCAGAAAAATATTTTTTAACACAGAAGTGGATGTCTATATTTCTGAGATGAGGTATTATGTACATTATTTACATTATTCGGACTATTCTCCTCATCTTTGTCGCCATATTTATCACAACGTTTCGGCCGTTGTACGCTCTGGTCTTCTTCTCTGTGGGATCATGTTGAGATTATTGACAACGAACACCATAGGAAAATTCGTAAACTTAAGGAATCAGCACATATGCTAGGCCACAAAAATCTCCTGAGCCGACCAAGCATAGAAATAAATACAATATGGGAACCAGTAATAAGGAGTGCCAGAGAAAAGCAATGATAACAAAGTTGCAATATGAGCTCTGGTAAAAATGGTTGCTGAAAAAATTAGGTTTATAATACCCAGAAATTCATACCCATATGTCCTCAATGACACATGACACAGTGGATAAAGGCGTTGGTTAGATCCACCCAAAGAGTGTGAGTTCAATACCCGGTTAAGGCAGTGGAGAACTTTTAGAGGGAAATTAACAGGAGATAACTGATAACTGACATCCATCAAACATGGCACGTGGAACTAGAACAGTCTACCCCGGTGAGCGAAATAAAGGCTTCAATTCGACTTTCCAACCACCTGAAGAAGGCCGGAGCGTACAACGGCTGTGATAAATATGGCGACAATGTAAATAATGTACAGAAGTAGATGTTTTTTATGAGATACTGATGCATGTCTCGACAGCCTCGACGGGGAAATTTATATAAGGAGGAGATAATTGTATTTTTTCTTTTTCTTTCTTTTTTTTTTTAATCAGTGGTGGGTACAGAGTGTGAAGTTGGGAGAAAATACTGCGTATAAGGGGAACTGAGGAAAGGATAAAAGCTGAACAGGATTCTAGAAGATGGCGATTGACGTTGCATTTAAATTTTGGAAGGTTGCAGTTATCAGGGAAGCAAGGAAAGGGGAGAGAGTTCCACAAGCGGGAAGTGTGAGAACAACAATTGTTGGAGTAGAACTGGCGGCTACATTTAACTAATTCAACACAAAAAGGGTGGGACCTAGATGCCAATCTAGTAGCACACGTAAACTCGCGTATTCCGGGCACCAGGGAAAAAAGTTTGTCAGAGCAGTTGCCATGAAAATATCTGCAGAGAAAGTCAGAGAGAAGTCACGTCAGGTCGGTGAGAAAGAGACTGAAGTCGAGATGCCAAGTCAAGGTCGATTACACTGCAGATTCTTCTTTGGACTTTGCCATAACCTCGAGACCAAATATGGCAACAGTAATCAATGCACGGACAAATAGCAGATTTGTAAATGTGCAAGATGGACTCTGACGAGAAAAACCTTCTGGCACGACACAATGAACCAAATTTCCTTGCAATAGGTGCAGCTATTGATTCGATGTCGTCGTTCCACTTGAGGCCAAGAAGCTGCAGTTTGTTGCGCTCCATGAGTCTAGCATCAGCTATGCTGATGACAGGCAGGAAAGATTCTCTATGGTGGTTGAATGAGTTTAGTTTCGTTTTGGAGGCATTAAAAATTTACTAGCCCTTTCCTGTCCCGGTTAACCACAGATTGGAGGTCCCTTTCAAGTGCAGCGGCCAGGTTAACTTTGTCCGCTCTGACGGATTTACTATTGAGACAGGAGTAAATGGTAGTGTCATCAGCATAAATGCCTACTTGGGAATTGATGACATCAGGAAGATTATTGATGAAGATCAGAAACAACGTAGGACCCAAAATAGAGCCTTGGGGGGGGACACCCGCGTTCGAGTGACGGGTTTATGCGCATATCACTCAGCAGAACCTCTGTCTTGTTGGGAGAACCAGGTGTGGGTACTCTATATGAGACGAGTGTTGAGTTGGCAAAGAATTTCCGAGCAAAGCATTCAAAGGAACTACATTTGCTATAGAGGTCAGAACTTTGAATAAATAAAAAGAGGAAGGATTGAGGATTTTCTCTTGTTCAGCACACTCTTGCAGAGCCGCCAATAATCTCTAGAACCGTACTTGCGAGATGCTATACGTTGTTTCATTCTATCAGCAAACAGTAACTTCGCTTCGTTACGAGCAGAAAAGAAGCGTCTGTTGCAATCAGACGTGTCTATGTAGTACAGGCGGAAGAAGTGATTCCTGTTGGATACAGCGGCCAATCATACAGGTAACCAAAGAGATGAACTCCTTTTTCCTGGTATTTCCTTACTGAAATGAAAGCGTCGATTCTGGTTTTCACCCAGGAGGAGACCTCAGACGCGCATTTTTGAACAGGATGAAAGCGATACAAAAATGAATGTCACGAAATTTCATAAAAATTAATTGAATGGGGATAACAGACATACAAATGTTACAAAGAGTTTCTGAAAAAGATACTTTAAAAAATAATTCCGTTCATTTCTAAATAAGTCTTGAATGTTTCATTAAAATACGACAATTATCTGATTTTTTACAAGAATTTCCAAATCAATGTTTTGTTTTTTGGGTTTTTTGGGGGGGGGGATTTTTTTACCGCTAAAAAGCACTCAAATTTGCCAAACAAACTTAAGATTGTGTGTTGACACAAAAAAAAACAAGATTTTTAACCAAAATTTCCAAGGCTCTAACCTTGGAAATTTTGATTAAAAATCTTGATAAAAGGATAAAAAGAATAATAAATTTTACCGAAAAATCTTTTATCTTTCAATTTAATAAAAATACAAATTTTTGACAATAGAATTTTGTTTCTATTATGTTTTGGTCATTTTTCTAATAAGGTATCCCATATTTTAAACGAATTTTTGAGGAACTTATATAATTTTTATGAATTTGTCATAAAAATGCATGGTCATATGAAAAAGAAAAAAAATAACTATTTACAATTACCTTTTTGAAATCCAATTTTTACCGATTTTCTTTCTAATACGTGATATTTTCTCTTTAATCTTCCAGGGAGAAGAGAATTTGCCAAACATCAGAGTGAGTTTTTGATATTTTAATTTTGCTTTCTTTTATATTCTTTTCTTTCTGTCATCGAATAATTTTCTTTCTTTCGTCCAACACTATTTCTTGCTTTCTTCTATTGACCTGTAGGGATTTCAATCGTCCAGGGTTATTTTTTTTATTATTATTATTATTAAAAATCTGTACGCCGTAATTCCAAACAATAATAAAATAAAAATAACGAAAACATGAGTATGCCTGTTAAATAAAACATTTATTTATAAACTTATGTATATGAATTCCAAAGATTTAAAAGAATGAACATAGTCTTTAGTTGAGTCAAAGGCTTTGGGTAGTTGGTTCCCAGAAAAAAAATGTGGTTTAGTAATTGGTTCACAAAGTTGTTGTTAAAAAAAAAAGGCTTTTATCGTTAACAAAGATTTACTGGCTGACTTTGTTGCTGTTGTTGGAGAGGATCCGTTTGAAGTCACTGACATATATTTCTTTCAGCACGCACTGGAGAGGAGAGCATAAAACTATATAGCCAAGGTGTGGAAACAATTGCATCTCTGCTTATTGAAGATCGAAATCTGTGGGGTTTTATAAGAAATCGTTTGGGTATGTTTACAATATTGTCTGTTATTGGGTAGAAAATAAATTTTGGGCGTATTTTAATATGGTAAGTGGGTATGTATAACTGTTTGTTTAAAATATTTTATTTTTATATGTCATTTTACAACAAATATAATCGTAAGGTATTTCACTGCAGCATCTTTTGCTAAATTAAATTTTAATTTTCCAATTTGTCTAAAATGTATCAAAGTATGTAAATTAAAAGAGCAAATATGTACTTTAATAAGTGTAATAAATCATATTTAAATTAAATAATTTAATTTATTTACTCATTACTCATGTTCCAAAATTAACTGATTCTGATATATATCTTTCTGATTCTGTTTTTTTTTTTTTTTTTTTTCTAATTTAATTTAGGTATTCATTTATACAGGAAGTTTTAATTATCCGAACATATTTTTTTCAATCCCTGCCCCAAGGTTTCTGGATCATCGAGAGAATACTGTACTCACTGACAGAGTATTACTGAGAGCGTCGTGTTCCCCCTCCTTGGAGGTGTGTACGCGCATCATTTATCATCTCTCAGTTGTGTCTCTGTCCTTAAACATTTATTTTTAGGGGCTTCAAAAGACAAGGACGGAGGGACAACTGAGAAAATAATATTGAAGAGGTGCCCAGCCCTGGGGAACATTTGCCTGAGGCCGCGCCCTCCCATTGCACCAGAGGGAGGGATGGGTGCTCTCTTTGAAAGGCCAGCACAACCGACAGTTGCGGGGGCTGAGGGGATTTTTTGTTCCTGTCTTTGACATTTGTACGCGCTCAGGTGGTTAATTAAATTAAACTTTGTGTCACATCTCCTTCTAGTGGGGGAACGAGTAAATACCACGGAGTATTACTGTGTACACATGAAGGCGGATATTAAGGTTTTTTAACTGACTAGTGAATTTGGGTAGATTTCAAAGGGTGCATTATTGTTGCATTACATATCCATATCCAAACGAGTTTCTTTTCTAGTTAAACTGTATTTACTGAAATTACTGGTGTGGAAAATGACTCGTTTAAAACAAGCGCGGGGAAAATACAAGGGAAGTAACTCTTATTCTTTCATAACCATTTTTAAAATTAAACGATATTTGTGAAAGATCTTGTTAGTTATGTGAATAAAGATTTTTACAAGATTGTATTGTTTATTCATAGATTTATTTAGGTACATCTACACATTTGCGATACCTAAGGTTTGAAATTAATTTTTTTTAATGAAAATATTTCTTGAAGCTTTTATATTATTTTTAATTTCAAGCTGATAGATTCAATTTTATATTTTCAATAAGCAAAATACTTTAAGGCATTTCAAAACTAATTTAAACTAACTGGAATTTTTTTCGTTTTGCAATTGCTAATCATCGCTTATTTAAGCGCCATTTTAGCCTCCTGTCATTACAATGTAATTCTGTTTATTAAAAAAATATTTCAAAAATAAAATATGCTTTTCTGAAAATTTATTTGAGGAATATTAACTGATTTAAAGTTTAATTAATCTGATTTGAAATAAATATTACTTCAAATTTATCGCAGAAATGCATTTTTTTAACCAGGTAGCTGTTTATTTTATTTAAGTGTTGACAGCTTGAATGACAGGCGGGAGTTTATCTAATGTTTTTCTCCGGTAGACATATTTGTAAAGTTTATTTGAGGAATAATACGTCAGCGCCCGTTTTATATAATTTTTAACTACACAGTAATCTTAAAAATTTAAGAAAATATTCCTCATAATCTAATGTTTTATTGAATTTTAGGTACTTTCGCTTATAAATTTACTATGGTTATCGCTCTTATTTTCTGATAATGCCATGTATGGACGTCCGTATTTACAAAAATCGGCACATTTATACACACACACAAAAAAAAATAAAAATTCTTTTTAAAATATTAGGAGGATGAACTAAGCTTTTCCATTTATGATTAATAAATATAGCTTTTACTTAATAACAATATCATTTAACATCTACAAATTAAGATGTAAAACTATACAAACTATTATAATTAAAATTTTTAAAAATGAAAACAATTCTAGTAAAAATTCATTATTTATCGAATATTTTTTCGTACGACAATAGTATTCTTCATATTCATAAAGGCAATTAAAAATTTTTTTAATTAAATAATATCATAATTTTATGGCATTTTTTATTTTACGATACCGAGCAATAACTGAGGGTCCTGTTTTATAAAAAGAAATTGAGGATTTAAATCCTCTAAAGAATTCTGTTTTTAACTAATATAAACATTTAGCCCTACAAAATTGAATTTCTCAAAATTTTATAAAATTAAGTAAGTGGAAGAGGGAGTAATAGATGTAAAAAAATATATTTTTACCAATGTATTGTAAAAAATAATATTTTTAAAATAATTTCTTTCATTCGTGATAAGTCCTAAAAGTTTCATTAACATACAACATTTTTTGCAAGAATTTCCAAATCAATGTGTTTTTTCACGTGTGTTTTTTAGACCCTAAAATTTCCTACTGATCTTTGGATATCGCACTGACACAAAAGAAAAAAATATTTTTAACCAAAACTTCGAACGTTCTGAAAACGATCAAAAATATAATTTAATAATCAAAAAATTCTTTTAGTCTTTCCTCTTAAGAATAACAAAATATTTTTACGATAAAACTTTGTTTTTATTAAGTTTGGGGGCATTTTTTCATCATGGTATGCTAATTTTTTACCAAATCGATTGAGCTACCGAGATTTATTGTTCATTAATTTTTTTTTTTTTTAATTTTAATCATGACTCTCCCAGAATTTTGATTTTTGGATTGTAAAATTACCCAGGGGAAAAATAACTTTCTAAATATCTGGGATGAGGAGTTAGTTATAATTACTATTTACATGCTGATTATTATTATCCTCATCTTTGTTATGATAACAGTTTAACAACAACAAAGACAATAGTCAGCATGTAAATAAAAATAACAAGTTGAAAATCCTGATGTAACCTGATTTTATGTTAAATTGAAATAATACAGGGTGCCGTGGGTAAATTTTCGCCATTTTATATTTTTAATTTCGCGCATGCGCGTTGTTTGTTTTTGATTTTGTCGACTGTACAGTATAGTAGGATCAGTTGGGCACTGTATGTGAGAAAAAGAGCACCATGACGCAATTCACTCTATTAGAAATTTGGAAACGTCATGCTGTACTGCTAGGAATTCGTGCCGGAAGCTCCAATACAAACATTTCTGAGTGTTTGGATATCAATCTGAGGAGAGCGTAGAGGATTCGGAAAGCGTTGGATGAGTCTAATAAATGCTGATTACGAAGGTGGTTGGAGTGATCACTAGTGATGCGACGTTATGCCTACATTCATCTTCCCACAGGGCCTCCGACTCTACATGGAGACCTATATCAAGTGCCTTGAGGAGGTAGTGCTGTCCTTGGGCAAGAGGGTGGCTGCTGGAAGACCCTATGTCTGTCAGGCAATTTCTGCAACTACATCACCCCTTACATCTGGTTACGGGTTACCTAACTCCCGAAACTGCAAACCCCTTGATTATTATGTGGGGGTGCAGTTGAGCGAGAGACCAACAAAACTCCTTGTAATACCAAAGATGAACTAAAGGCAAGGATTATGGCATCATTCACCAACTTAAACAAGGAGATCATCCAGAAGAGTTGCAAGAGATTACGAAGTCGCCTGGAGGTTGTGGTTGAAGCCAATGGCAATTTTATTAACAGATCTCGACAGCTATTAGGGAGATATGGTTAAATATACTTTAATGTTTAAAAAAATATTCAGTATTATTATTATTGTTTAGATAATAAGCATTATAACAGCACAAATAGCTATATTGTGGAAAGAGGAATTTTCCACAATATACGCATTTTTTATGTATTTATGGTTATTTTTAAAATTTTATCAAAAACGACATTCTTATACATGTAGTTATGAATAATATTATATATTAATTACTAATTTTTTAATTAATAACTATTTGTGCTCAGGCATTAATAGCTATCTGCTGATGTGCTAAAATTTTGGAATAACGCAATAATAAAAAATTAAATTTCATCTATTAGATGTCACGATCTGTAAATAAATTTACTCTTTAGTATTTCAAGATATTTTTATGTAATTTTGGTAAATATATCTATTAAAATGAGATGTCAGTGTTATTTTCATTTTTGTTTAATTTAGACGATAATTTATCCATCGCACCGCGTATAGCAAAAATGTTTAACATATCTTAGTTCTTTTCTGCTATTTTCATTACATTGACCTGATGCCTGTTTATCTTCTGGTTATATTTCTGAGATGAGCTATTGTAACTATTTACATTGTTTGAACTGTTATCCTCATATTTATTGTTCACAACGTTTTGGCCGTTGTACTCCCCGTCCATCTTCAGGTGATGTTTAATTTGCTATACCTGTTGAATGTGCGACTCAGAATGAGAAATCGGAAAGCCCACTTCTAATTCCATTCGAATTCATTACATACCCTTGGTAATGGCTTGAATCCAGCTCTCCCTCGGCTATGGGTTAAATATTAGGACAGACTGGACTATTTAGGGCGCTTCGAGGTGGTGTAATGGTTAGCAAGATTGTCTCGCTAAAACAATTACGACTGAGTAGTGAGTTCGATCCTCACTGGGTACCCTATACTTTCGGCCTTGTGCCACATCTAAGCTACACTTGGAAAAATCACTATTTAGTCTTATTTGGCAACCAGTCTGGGAGAAAGACAATTCTAAATTCAAAACCTAAGGAAACCAATTAACATGTTTCCCTTTAGTAAGACAAAGCACTCAGAAAACATCCCTGTCAGGATCTGTCTATATTTCTGAGATGAGGTATTATGTACATTATTTACATTATTCGGACTATTGTCCTCATCTTTGTTGCCATATTTATCAAGAACATATGGCACAGTGCATATAAGCGTTAGTTAGATCCAATGACAGGACCCAAAGAGTGTGAGTTCAATACCTTGGAGAGGGGAATTAACAGGAGATGACTGATAACTGACATCCATTAGACATGGCACGTGGAACTAGAACAGTCTACCCCAGCGAGCGAAATAAAGGGTTCAGTTCGATATTCCAACCACCTGAAAAAGGCCGGAGCGTACAACGGCCGAAATGTGATAAATATGGCAACAAAGATGAGGACAATTATCTGAATAATGTAAATAATGTTCCCTGTCAGGGTTGTGGTTGGTTTTGTTTAGCAACATATCAACACCTCTATGGGTTATTTAATTCTAAAATGTAAATAGTTTGATCACAATTTTATGGCTTCAACTAAATATCTTTTGAACACAATTGTATGCCTTCAACTACAGATAAAAGGCATTGTTAGTCATTTTACTTTAAATATGTATTGTTAGTAATTTTACTATAAATATGTATTCTTGGTTGGTTGATTTTGTTTAGTGGCATATCAAACTCTATGGGTTATTTAAAGCCGAAATCTAAATATTTTGTACGTATTTTTTATGCTTTCAACTACAGATGTTTTGTACATAATTTTATACTTTCAGGGTAAAGGTATGTGTTGCATAGCCCCCTGGTGGGGTGGTTTTGGACAATTCAATAATAAAGTTGCATTCGTCTCTCGCGGCCGGTAATAGCTTGTTGTTTTGAGTCCAGAGATAAAAGAACTTCAACACAGAAAATTTTAACTTAACTATTTTATTAAAGTCGACATATACATCTTCTAACTATCCACTGGGGAGCCGTTTTAGACACGAAAGAAAACGTGTTTACTCACTGAAAACCCTTCCTCTATACCTGTCATTCCTACGCTGACTCAGACAATCAAAGTTGACTTCTTTGTTTTGTCTTCCATCTGGCCTCAAAGGTCAACCTCAGGAAATCCGAGCAGAAATACCATTCTCCTTAAAAATAATAATCTGCTAAACTATTATTTAACACTTTCTTCCTGCTATCCTTTAGTGGGTCACTCTCCCTCCACTGGAGAGCCGTTTTAGACACAAAAGAAAACACGTCTACATTGTTTGATGATTAAGAAACAACTCACTGAAAACCCTTCCTCTATACCTATCACTTCTACACTGGCTCAGCCAATAAAAGTTAACTTTCTTGTTTTGTCTTCCATCTGGCCTACTACCCCAGATTATTTTTAATTGCTATTCCAGGTTCACCCTGATATGGGGTAGCAGCACTTGCTAGGATCCCAGCTATAGAATAATATTGAACACCCAAACAGAAATCAACAGCATATTTTTATTATAAAATGACCAACAATATATTTTTATAGCAAAATGACAATCAATGCAATACAAAATATAAAAATACATTTATATATTAAAATTAGCAACAATAATATTTTACAATCTACAAACTATATATCTAAAAATATATATTAAATAATAGTTGAGCAGATTATTATTTTTAGGGGAAATGGTATCTCTGCTCAAACTTAGTGAGGTTGACCTTAGGGATCAAATAGAAGACAAAACAAAGAAGTCAATTTTGATTGTCTTTTAAAACTTTTAACTTGGAAGCAGATATAAATAGCTAACTAGGTCCTCCATGCAGACACCTCTTTTAAGGGTTTTTGGATACATGCATATATTTGGAGACACAAGGTGCTTCTCTAGGTGTTCCTGACTCGGAATAATTAGGCCTTATCCATTGGCTAGTATGAAAGATCTTTTTGCATGACACCATTGCAAGTGAATGCAACAAAAATCTGGTCTGTTAGATTCTGCCATTGACTCCACCCAACATCCTACTGTTGATGTCTTCACCATAACCCATGTGTCCTGGGTATGATGATAAATTACATCTGGCATCAAGGCCTCTGATCAGGAGATTGGAGGTTTTGAGGAGCATGATGACTGCATGAATTTAAGCGTGCTACTAGGTTGGCATCTCGGTCTGACCCTTTTACTTTCAAAATAGTTAAATGTAACTGCCTCTTCTACTCCAACAGCTTCTTCTCTCGCACTTCCCAACAGTGAAACTCCCTTTCCCTTACTTGCTTCCCTGATAGCTATAATCTTCAAAAATTTAAATGTAATGACAATCGACATCTTCTGATGCCTTGATCCCTGCTCTTCTTTTTATCCTTTCACCAGCCCAGATATAGCAGCAATACTCCATTCTTGGTCTGATCTGACTCTTATAAAGATAAACCATGGCAGAAGTTGTCTTGTATTTTCTGCAGCAATTCAAGGAACCAACCATTCTCCCAGCATCGTTTGCAATGACACAAATATACACATTCCATTTGAGGTTGGAAGTGTAGGTGTTCAAGGCAAAGAGCTGATCAAGACTGGTGCAGGTTTCAGGCCTGGTCTGTGGTAATTAAATTGTAATATCATGTGCAAATTAGATAGACAAGTATAAATAGAGAACAACTGGTAAACATAGGGGCTATTCAGGACACACAGAACTGTACTATGACTACTACAACACAGAGAGATATGCAAAACATGACAGAAATATTACAAGTTTAGTTTGGGATTTATTGAATAATATCAGCAAATCTTTTTCCCATTCAGCTGTGAGATCTAGGTCAGAGGAGAGATCAGTTGACAGGCATGGGTCATCAAAATATTTGGTGGTGCACCCATACACTGTGGTATCATCTGCATATGTATTTACTAAGGATTTTTTTTTATATAACCTTGTCACTGGATTTTTTCTAATAACTTTTTTAGCTTTCAAATATCTCTTAACATTTTAACTTTTCCTTTATTTTTGTTCTTTCATTCAGGTCTGAGTTGATCCAATACAGTTCAATTCGACAAGCTTCGCTCAGCCTTCGTCAACTCTCAGACAACCGTGATACCCCAATTAACATTAGGAGTGGCTCCATGTCTCTAGCTAACCATAAACGACGACAGCGCCATGGCAGAGTGAGAGGAAATGCACCCCACTCGGCTCCTGGAACATTACAGAGGTGAGCAGTCATCATTCATTTGAAAGGCATTTTTTTTTCTACTGACTCTGAATTTCTTCCCATTAAATCATTTAGTATTTAAACTATGCTGTATGTTAGCTAATGAGAAAAAAGTAATTTTATGCAACATATATTTCAACATTATCTCTTCCTTGTCAAGGCACTTAATCTAGCTTTTCTTCACCAATCACATAAATCAAATATACAATAAAAATTTCAGATGAAAATGTAATATTTAATAATCTAGGTTGTAGACTTATTTGTTCACCGTGTGTGTGTGGGGGGGGATAAATAAGTGTATATATATATGTGTATGTATGAATAAATAAGAATATGTGTTTGTATGTGTTTCCATTGAAGAAGGTTTAAGAATAGATATGTGTGTGTGAATAAATAAGTGTGTGTGTGTGCATGAATAAATAAGAATACATATTGGTTTGTGAGGGGGAAATAAATAAGAATATATATATTTGTGTGTGTGTGTGAATAAATAAGAATAGGTGTGTGTGAATAAATATGTTTGTATGTGAATAAATAAGAATACATTATATATATAAATAATAAGAATGTAAGGCAATAATGGCAAGTGTGTAAATAATTCAACTGTTTTACAATTCTAATTATCACTTATTAAAATAAACATTGCCAAGGAGTGAAGATAAAATTACTGAATATATATATATATATATATATATATTCAGTAATTTTAAAAATTTGTACCCACAAAAAAAGGCGTGTGAAAAGGATGGTTTTTCCCTTGACACTGCTATTATTCTATCTTCACTCCTTGGCAATTTTTATTTTTAATATATATATATATATATATATATATATATATATATATATATATATATATATATATATATAAGAGAGAGAGAGAGAGATTCACCTTATATATTGTTTGAAAAAATAGAAAGTGTCTGAACATATGTCTTTATATCATATGATACATAACTGAAGTTTTTAATATGTACACATATTTTGAAAGGTGACATTCCAACATGTCTTTCTATATCATTTACGTGTAGATTGTGAATTTTAAAATTTTTTTACATTAATAGTGAAAATGAAAGAAAACGAGATCCATTGTCATCATCTGATACTCTTTTATTTCAAGAAACAAAAAAAAATGCTACCCAAACAGCAAAAAAGATATGTGCTGTTTATGGTGATGGTGCCATAGCTGAGAGTGCTGTTCATAAGTCGTTCACTAGGGTCAGAAGGGAACATTTTGATGCAAAAGAGTAAGAACATTCTGGCAGGTCTGGAGTCATTGATAATGACCAAGTCAAAACAATGATTAAGAATAATACAGGTCACATGACACGGGACGGAACAGAGTTAATTTGCATATATCATATGGGCACTGTATACATGAATTGCAGTAATGTTTGAGTTCAGGTTTTAATGAAATTAAAAAAAATGGAAAAAAAATTAAAATAGACCATATTTCCATCAGTAATTCTCTACTCAAATGTAACAAAAATGAGCCATCTTTAAGAAGAACAAGCACAGATGATGAAAAGTGGATTGTTTTCAACAATGTGGACCAAAAGTGTCATGGAGAAAATGAAATGAACCACTATTAACCACTTCCAAAGCCAGTCTATATCCAGAGAAAGTGATGATTGGAATGGCATTAGAAGCTTGTTCCACAAAGTTACTCATTGAACTCAAACAAGTACTATTCCTAGTTGGGCTGATTAAAGGCAGCAGTTCATGAAAAACATCCAGAATTGATCACTTAAGAGGGTGACATCTTCATCAAGACAATGGCAGACTTAACAGCTTTTTGCAGACCTTGCAGAAATTGGTACAGCTTGGTTAATATATCCAACTATACCCACAATGCTAGCCTAACTTTGCACCTTTGGATTGCCAATTATTTGAATTCCTACAAACTTCTCTTAAAGGAATGAGCTTCAATTCTCTTGAAGCCTGTAAAAACCTCTTAGACCTGTTCATCACTCATAATAATACAAAGTTCTGCGAGAAGAGAATCATGAAGCTACCTCAAAGATGGCAAAAGGTACTAAAATGAAATGGTACATATATGGCTGAATTTATGTGCAAATATCTAAATATTGTCTTTGAAATTCACTTAATAAATGCTACAAACTTTTATTCTGACCCACCACACACACACACACACACACATATATATATATATATATATATATATATATATATATATATATATATACAGGATGGCAATAAAGTCACTACACAGTTACTTATAATAAAAAGCAAAACATTGAAGAAGGTGGCTTGCAGTTCGAACAGTATCACTAATTAATTTACTATTGTTTACCATACCATTTTATTATTATTAACCAGAATTAACCAGAACCATTTTCTGAGATGAAGTATTATAACTATTTGCAAACCTAACAGAAATTAGTAGAGCTTTGTGGGGATATTCTTCACCCACCATATTCTGCTGATCTTGTACCTTTGTATTACATCTTATTTCAATTCCTACACAATTCTCTGAATAGGAGGAATTTCCATTCTCTGGAAACCTATAAAAACTACTTAAACCAGTTCATTCAGAAAGATGTCAAATTCTGGGAAAATGGCATCATCATGCTGCCTCAGAGATGGCAAAAGGTAACTGAACAAAACAATACATATATGGTTAAATAAATCTGTGTGCAAATATGTAAATACCAGGCGGCATTTAAGCTAGCTCCTGCAGAGGGATCTTCAATGGGGCTTTATCACACAAGGTAGGGAGGAGTAGATTTGAAAGGCAACACTAAACTACAGAAGAACTCAAAATTGATCACTGCATTTAAGTATTGCATTAATATCTAAGCTTAACTTTTAAAAATTAAATGATAATTCTTCTGCTGCAACTTAATTCAAAGACGATTTAATCTGCCTTATTTTCCTTACAAACAATTATTTTTATTTCATGGGAGACTTTCACTGGATTTCACAATTAATTTTGATTATTCCCAAAATTTATAGTTATAGTTATAAAAATTGTTATCATACAAAAAGATTTGTCACAAAAAGTTACATAAAAAATTGCCAAAAGAATGGCAGTGTTGAAAACTAAAGAATCCAAAATTTCAGGATTACTGATCAGGATCCAACCTGGAATGTTTTTTAATTTACTCATGACATTGACCTGATTCCGAAATGGTATGATATGTTGGGCTACGGCCTCTGGGAGTAAAGTTGAAGAGGTGTGACACAATGACACATTGTCATTCACATTTATTATATAGATATATAAAAGTGGACACTGAGATTAACACCAAGTGTTGACACTATTTCTTGGCCTGAAGACTGTGTTGAAGCATGAAACAGACTGTTTCTGCTTGGTGTTGACCTCAGTGTTCACTTTTATATATACATGCACTGTGTCTCTGATACTGAGCACTTTTAGCCATAACTATAGCATACCTTAAAACTATATTTCTATCAAAGCAAGGTATATGAAATATATACAAAAACAGAGCAAACCACCTGGCCGATGATTGCAAGAAAGCATGAAGCTGACAGTAGTAGTTGATCATTGTGAAACAGAAATTTTATTTATAACTGATATATATATATATATATATATATATAATTTTGAATTTGTAGGTCTGATGAATTGGATCATGATTACAATTTCAATGTAATAAATTATAAGCATGGAATATTAGTGTTCGAGCCTTTTATATTATATAATGTCATCCACAGACAGACTGTTTCACTGTTTCACAGCTCATCAGTGTGGCTAGACATACGATTGTCTCACACTGGGATCGAAACCTGACTGCTGATTTGGTATCAGTCGGAGTTTTAACCCCTAAGTTACTGACACACAGCTGGAATGAAGGTGAATTTTGACATTTATTTTTTAGACGAACACACCAGTGATCAGAGAACTCGATTTGTCTTTACAAAGAGTTATATATATATATATATATATATAATAGTACAGGTAATAGATCCATTGATATATAATCCAGGTGGATCCTATTAATATTAGATACTAGCAGCATGGCCCGGCATTGCCGTGCTTGATTCAAAAATCGTACGACTCATACAGCAATCACTTGACTTTAAAATTTTTGCCCTTCCTTGCCTTTAAAGGAGTGCCCTTTGCCATGCTGATGTTGCTACATGCCTTACTTCTTGCCTATCTCACACTGCAAATTTTTTCTAAGCTCTATACTAAACATTAAATCTGTTACGAAAAAAGAACTAAACAAAATGAACAAAAAGGACTCCTAACTGGAAAAACCGAATGAAAAAAGAATATTAACTACAAATACTTTTTCACACCCAACCCAGTTCTGCAGAATCAGAATCAACGTTGAGTTTAAGCAAGCGAATGAGCCAATTGGAGTAAAGTGCCATGCAGATTTAAATTCTTCCCACTTGTGACGAATGCAGCTATCGATTTTTTTTGCATGCTAGCATGCTAGTTAACATTCATGTCAGTCAGCTATTGGCTCTCACGCTGGCCAATAGAATCGTCCTGCCTATTCATGGCAGCCAGCTATAGGCTCTCACTCTGGCCAGTACAAAATGGCTGCAAACTACATGAAAACTGCTGTAGAAGCATGAAAAAATCGATTATTTCCACTATCGATGGGAGTTGGGAAATGCAAAGTCAGTCTTGGCCTTCCCACTAACTTGGGGCATATGCATGTAAATTTTGGTGCAAATCCGTCGAAAATTGCGGCCATACATTCGTTACACACACATACACATCCTGCCTTTTATAGATAGATTAAAATTAATCCATATAGAGAGCTCAATGTATTATAATATAGCATATATTTTATACAGCAAAAAATCCCAAATTCCAAGACAGTCATTCTGGGACTGAGGTGAAATAAATTACGAAGGTTTCTGCTTTCATTATTGTGTGTGTGTGTGTGTGTGTGTGTGTGTGTGTGTGTGTGTGTGTGTGTGTGTGTGATTGAGCACTATGGAGGAAGGGAATTTTTAATGGCTGTTGCTCCTGCTCAATGCATAGCTCTTCATCAGAAATG